ATACAAAGCGGTATTTATGCACCCCACTAACCCAACTGTCCATGCAAATGAAGACTTTTTCTGATGGTTTTCATGCTTTTTTGGTACCAGTGTAAAAACTGTCCTTTATGTTTAGCTTCTCTCACTGCCTATTTCATAGTCCACTAAAATCAGCCTGCTCCTTGAACAACCCAGACATTTCAGCAAAATAGCGGATACTGTTTTTTAAATAGCCTCTCACTTACCTAGAAAAGTGCATCTGATTAACAAGGAATCAAATGGAGTTCACTTCAATCTTAGAAGTAAATAAAGTTGCTGCACAGTCATTGGTGATCGCCAAAGCATTATACTGCTGAAAATCCCAAAAGTGCAAGTAAGTTTAGCTGTCTCAGGAGAACGGGAATTTAAAAAAAACATGCCAATAATGATTGGCAATTTACAGAGAGTGGCGTGTATTTAAATTGCTAATCATTAAACACAGCCCGTTGTGTTTCAATTGCCAATCACTAATAGCCTATTGTTTTAATCCTAAATTGCTGGGGACTAAATGATGATGATAGTAATACTTAGCAATTTGATAGTACTTTACATCTTCAAAGTAAAGTACAAATATTAACTAAGGTGGCAAAGGTAATTTCATCTCTGTATACCCGGGCTTATATCCAATTTATTTAATAAGTAAAAGCAAACGTAGTATTCTCCTCATACTCTCCAGTGAATATTTGTCCATATCACAAAACAGCCATCACCAGACAGCTGAGAACAATTGGAAGTGTCTACTTAGCAGAAACCAGAAGAAACAGTAGTGGTGTTGCAAGCAAGAACCAAGCTGCATTTGCAAAACTGTGAGAGCCTCCAGTATCTTTGGCTGTATCCTGTTGATCTCTCCTTTTGTGCTCACCTCTCACACTCCAGTTATTCTTGTGTAACATTGTCAAAGGTCTGATCTCCATAATCTCATATAGATTACATCTTTCCTCAAACTGCACGCCTCTAATCCCTTCTCAATTAGATTCACTGTGCTTCCTTTGGCAAGTTACTTTAACTTCTTTGTGTCTCAGTAGCCCAACCTACAAACTGCACCCCTCAGAGCTATTGCATATCTTCATGTATCCCGAGCCATTGGACATTCTTTGATGAAAGGGACTATTCAGATGTGAAGTATATGTGCACTGTAAGATCTTTTCTGAAAAACTTAGCACTTTGCAACCCCCATTTTTTACTCAGAAATCCTAAAGAATTATCTATGCGTGCAACATCTGCCAATCTATCAGAAAATTGATGGTTTTACTTATCATACAATTTTGTCCTAATTTCACCATTGAGCTCTCGTCTCACCTCACCGACTCCTTTTTGTTTTATGGGATTGGCTTTGGGGAGGGGAGGCGGGAGAGAAAGGGGAGTCATAAATTTTAAATTTGCCATTCTAAAACATGTTAGGGTGTCTTTATATTCATTATGTTTAAGTTGCAGCACAATTTTTATATTTGTATAGTTTTCACCTAATGTATTATTATAAACAGTACACACTCCACTGTACTTGTAGGTCTGATTATAAATCCGTCATGTTAGTGATGATCTGCTGTGGGTTTAGGATGGATTGGATATGCTAATTAGAACAGCGCATAATATCCTAAAACATACTTTATTCTTCCAGTCATTCATCGGTGCATGAATACTATGATCCAAATGACTACATGGGAGGCATTCATCAAGAAATGGACAGAGATGAGTTAGAATTAGAGGTATTTAACAACTATTAATAAATATTTAACATTCAAAACGTTTAATATGTCGTCATGTGTCAAGATCGTAGTCAGCATTAAATTACAATTATAGATATAGAATGTCAAAAGGCATTTCTAGGAATAATACATAACACATTACTCTTCAGTTGCTCTGCAGGCTGCAAAAATTAAAGCTTATACAACTATGTCATAATTACAAGCTAAATCCTCAGCTGGTGTAAAATGGCATTGTTTTAGTGGAACTATACTGATGTACAGTACCTAAGGATCCAGCCTTACGTAATTACATATTTATTACACAATGTGAAAAAAATGATTTTGTAAGTGGAACACCATGGATCACAAATTCCAAGTACAATATTTTTACACTTCAGTTGTATATTCTTTCTAAATATCCGCAGGGTTGGAAACAAAGATAGCCAGTCTTACTCATGTAAAGTTATTTTTAAAGTTGTAGAAGGAAATCAAGGAACATCTCAAATTACTAAAATGTTCCATTCTCCTAACTGAAAAGTTACAGCAGTATATGTGTAGAATCATAGACATTAAAAGCAGAACAGACACATGAGTGGATCTAAATCCCTCTTCCTGCTAATGCAATTTTTTTCTTTTGTACGGTCCATTTTAAAATGTCTTTCAGCAATGAAAGTTCCAACACTTAACTGGGAAAATCTTATATATCCCAACCAGAAGCTTATTATTCAGTTTTCCCTTTATGAATTTCATTACATTACTACCAACTCTCCTGCCATTGAGAGTGCAATTTATACACATGGGGCATGATTTAGGAGGGTACCGAAGTATGTGCCTAACATTACGTTCATGAGTAGCTCCACTGAAGTTACTATTTTTACTTCTACATTTATTCTGGTAATATATGTCCTAATATTTCTGTAGCCACTGGCTAGTACATCTGACTTGGTCTCTGAAGTCTGATCTGGTTAATATATACTTGGTTGTCCATGTGCCAGTGAAACACAAAAGGTCACTCTCAGTTGCTGTGCACCATATATTTCTTGCATCTCAGTCCTGCTAATACTTCATTTTCCAAAAAGATCAGTGCTGGCCAAGCTCTTCACCAGTTAAATAGTGTAAGTTTTACCAGTGAATTAGTTGCAAGCAGAGTTAAGCCAGCACAGATAGTGTATTGAGAATCTCACCCCATGAGCATGAAGTTGTTCACCTACATTAGTGTTTGAAGGCTCAAAGCCTTAAATCCACATACAAAATTTACAAGATAACTAAAATCTACAGGTCTGGCTGTAATTGGCCTCTGTATACCAATTCAAATGGAAATCAGATGAGAAGGTATCAGTGAAATAAATTTAATCAGCAGCTGTCGACTTTTTTGTCATTACAATGTCTCCACAGTGTCTTTTACACAATATGGATTTCAGTTTTAAGGGAAATGTTGAGCACATTAGCATCTTCTGCAATTGTCTTTTCAAAACAGTGTCTTAAAAATCTAATATTGTGGCTAAATTGCACTGCTTCCTTTGGAAGATCAGCCAGTTGAATTGAAAACTCTTTCAACATGTGCACTTCACTAGCCAGCTTAAACCCCAACATTAATAATTTTGAACATGTGCACTTCAGTAGCCAGCTTAAACCCCAACATTAATAATTTTGACATTGATATAGTACTTGGTGGCAAAAGGTGATCAGCTTAGTAACACAAGCAGCTGAACATCAGAAACATCTCTGTAGCCTAATAGTATTTCTTAAAAACCACTGATGATTCTTGTTCCAATCTTGGAAACCAAGATCAATGGAAGAGTCAACGTGCTATAACAAAGACTCGTCTAGCTAGTTGCTTTTTTGTTTGCCTATTGATAGATGCGTTTTTACAGACCACAAAGGCACTTGTTTCATTGACTGTGGTGGGATTGTTTAAAGCAAGCAAACCATCAAGTCACCCTTCTGGGCTTTTGTGTCTATAAAATGTGCTCTGAATTTCAATCAGAGCTCCTTGTCTAAACTTTTACGACCTATAACTGTCTTGTTATTGACTTGTAACAAGTAAACAAGGTCAAACCAGTGAAACACACCATTTGGCAACATTTTTCTATAAATGTCTAGAGGGTATCGGCTATGCTGGAATTATTTAAAAGCCATGAAAATTGAGAGCCCATTTTGTTCTCCTAAAGATTCTCTCAAAAAATGATTCATGGTCCAGATTTAACTATCATGTGTTCAGTTCAGTAAAAATACACAAACAAAATAACTTCGACATTTCTTACACAAGAGTCTCATTGAAAAAATATAGAATTAATATTTCATTTTAAGATAGCTAATACATTCAACTTTGCAAAGAGACCCAGACAGAATTAATTTCGGGTTCAAAGAGAAGTAATATATCACTGAAGGATTTCCCTGAACGTTATGGATTAAATGTTTATTCAGAGCAAGTCAGACCAGCTGCCAGACAGGTACTATAGAAGCTTCCTTCAATATGTTAATTCCCTTGGTCTACAAAGGAGAAAATTCTGAACTGAGGATACGTGCACTTGTTCTCTCAACATTTACTATGTTATTGCCCTATCCAAACTTCCTATTTATCCAAGCAAATGTCTTAATCACAAGTACAGGGATTGAGAGGAATTCTTCCAAGTTAAATTTGTTTGAGACAAAGCATAACATTGGGGTGGGGGATCCAACAGAACACTGTTTTGTCTGGTTGATTACTTAAAGCTAGCAGCTCTCTGCTCACTCGCTCTCTCCAAGACATCTGCATCAGGACAGGACCTGTTAGGTTAGGTTACAATGTCACAGATGGTTAAATCTGATGCAGTTCTTATTGCCCACAATATAAAATCCCAACACTTAGTTTCATCCAAAATAACTGCTCTCTGAAGCAACTGGATGAGTAGCCCCTTGGAAATCAGAGGTGTCCCTTAAAAGATCTGAAGGATTTTAGCACCTCTCCATTGCTGATCAGTGAAGGCTACACTAGCAGGACTCTGGTAAAAGAGGTTAACATACCTTAGTTCAAAGGAAGACATTATGCATCAATTTTTCCCCCTCTCAATTGGTTCCCCTTTTAGAACTGATGGTGATTGTTCCCTGCAAAGTCATCTGTCCGTTTATCTGTTTTTTGTAACAACATTACCATATTCTCACCTCTCCATTGCTGATCAGTGAAGGCTACACTAGCAGGACTCTGGTAAAAGAGGTTAACATACCTTAGTTCAAAGGAAGACATTATGCATCAATTTTTCCCCCTCTCAATTGGTTCCCCTTTTAGAACTGATGGTGATTGTTCCCTGCAAAGTCATCTGTCCGTTTATCTGTTTTTTGTAACAACATTACCATATTCTC